TATTGTACATGCAGTTCCCATCTAAAACAGAGGGTGGCAGCAGCGACACTCACCATGGAGTGTCCTGTTTAATTTGACTGTTTAATTGTGAGTATATTAGTGTCAAAACTATCAATGCTTATCACTCCGTTATATTTCTTATTGCTTAAAAACACTTTTGTAGAAGTTAGGGTATAAATTTAATCTTTTTACTCCAGTAAAAGTGTAAAAGTACAGTTTTTAAAACTACTTAAAGTATAAAAGTAAAAGTAATACAGGAAAAACTGTGAAGGCCAGAAGTTTTACTGCTCTACTCTATTAAAGGATCATTTTTCTATAATTCTGGATGAAAACTTCCTAGACTTTATTTTCTTAGTTTTATAACTGATGGTAACAGCGTCACATTTAACTTTGGGTTATTTACTTTTGCCGTCGAATTTCCTAAATCCTCAAATTTCCTAAATCCACCCCAGTCTGTTTGACAACACGAAGTAGGCTAAGAATGGCCAAAGCAGCATCTTAGCGCTCAGATGCATCCAGATGCAGCTTCTGCAGTGGTTGTCTTCAAACTGGTTCCAATGATCTGGTGAACCAACGCGGTTCCTAACCAGCGGACGTCGATGCCAGTCGCTTTGTTTGGCTTTTCATGATAGATTTAATGAGTTCTATAAAGAAGTTTGAGATTTCATCTCCAGTTCAGGGCAAGGAACGTAAACCAGGGTGGTTTTTGTTTTGGTGGACCGATGGTCTGAATGGTCTGACTGTCTCCACCCCTGGACCACCTGCTGGGTGTAGGGGTGGTTGCCCCCACTGAGGTCCTCAGTTCTCTGACGTGGGGATGCAGAGTGTGCATGGAGAGTCTGAATGACTGAACAACACGTCACTGTTTTCACTTAAATCTGTATTTGTTTTTTTTTTTTTAACAAACAGCAGTGAGCTGCTTTCAGTGGCGGCTGTGGCCAATAGAGGGCGCCCAGGCGCCGCTCACTCACCTTACGACCTTGATTAAGAAAATAAAAAAATGAATAAAAATGGAATTACAAAAGTAAAATATGTCGAAATATATTATCATATTTTTTTAGATGTGCAACATAAATGTTTCATTTTAAACGACGAGTAAAACGGTTTCTTTTGTCGTCGGATTGGTGACGTATTTCCAAAGATAGGAGCATCCTGGGGAGCAGCTCTCCGGCACTCAGAGCTGATAGCAGCGTTATTTGCTCACCACCTCCCTCCACAGCGCTGACGTCACAGTCGTCTGTTAGAAAGTACGGCTGATTGACAGGTGGATAGAATTATTTAGCTCCAAGGCTAACTGCATGCAGTGAGGCTAACTGCATGCAGCGAGGCTAAATGC